ATACTACAAATAAATGAAGCACATGTTATCGAACGTATAATTTCTAACCTACATACAGAAAACCCTAAGAGCAAACTACCCTAATCCTACTACCCAGTGGTCCCAAGAAATTCATTACATCAGTCTCTAGCTCTATCATTCTCGGTTAAATGGGTGAAATACAATAAATGGAGGTGAAATACAATTGATGGACAGCTAAGACATCGGAAGATAGTGGAGGCCCCCCTTGCAGTAAATATAATAACCGGTGCAAGAGCTCACAATCAATGGGGTAAGGGGCGAGTTTATTCCACACTAATAAACTAAGCCACACCATCAGAACTAAACAAGGAAAAGAAAACCACCAAGACAGGGACTCACTGCCCGCAACCCAAACTAAACACAACTTTACACAGTTGTTTTATTCATATTATTTTAGACACATGTATGTATAAAAGATAATAGAAAACATGTTCAAATCATACTGACTACGCAGCCGATCCCTACCTGGGTCTCCCCGACTAAGTTAGCCTACCCATAACGTTACATGGGGCTCTCCTCGTAACAGCGGTCGCCACCTGCTACGCTGCGGCCAGACGCCGCCCTGACCCTGGGCTCTCTTGGGCAGGACAGCCACACAACATGCAGCGTGCCAGTTCTTCATGCGGAGGACAAAATCATAACACACCCACGGCTCACAAGCAGGTGCCTATCGACTAATCCCTGCGCGCACCCCTGAACTGCCGATCCGGCCAGTTCCACCGGCTTCATAACCCCTGGAAATGTAGGCTTATTTAGGTCATATGAAATAAATAAAAAAATTAAAACTAAGAACATTTACTCTTTCATTTTAGTTTATTTTAGTTAGTTTTGCAAACCTAAAATACAGTTTTAGTTTATCGTGTTTTTGTAAAGCCTCGTTTTTATTTTTATATCAGTTAATGACAATGTTTTTTCACTTCTAGTTTTCGTTATTTCATTCTTTATTCTTCATTAACGATAATAACCTTGGTTCATACGAGAGTGTTCTAGGACACTTTTTAGAAAGAACAAACTGTTATTAAAAAATACAAATAAGAAAAGCAAAACAAAAATGGGAAGCTGTAGCTATCATATTCTGTTGCCACATTTTGTTCTGCGTGGTCTGAAAAAAAGTGCAGTCAGAAGCCTTCCGTTTTAAGGGAGACAATAACTCTTGGCAAACTACCGTCCCTGTTGGTTGTCTTTGTCTGTCTTTATGTCCCAGAATATCGACTATCTCAATTGCATTTGTCATTCTTAGCCTCGTCATTTGGCTTTGATATGCCTTTTGGAGCATATCGCATTGACAAAGCTCATCCATCACTTTTCTGCCCGTTGCCCTCCGGCCCGTTGTGTTAATACCTTCTCCTTCAGTTTCTGCATTTTACAGTGGCTCTTCTTGATCCTCTCAGTGTGGCTCGTTTTTTGCGGCTCACTTATGATTTGTTGACGTCATTGAGTTTTGAGGTTTCTGGTGATATTGGGGCAAAGATTGCAAAGAATCCCCTGCAGGCGTCACTTGGTGAATGATTGGTTTACCGCGTCTCACACCCTGTGATGTTTGTGAGGCCATTTAAAAGTACTGTTTCTGGCTTGTAAATCTCCATCACACCTTATGTAAAATGCAGGACTTTGTCAGAACCATAGTACTCTGCAGTCATTTGTGTGGCATTTTAAAAGCTTTTGGGTAATCATGTGCTGGTGGTTGCAGGCAGGATTTTTCTTACATTTGGTGATATGATTGAGGCCGTAAGAAAGCCAAACATTGGGGCAGTCCACCTCCTCAGGCTGTTCTGTTAGGGATCACTGGATGCCTGCAGCAGCCCCCTTAATTACCCCGCTCCCCTCCTCCCTCTGTCCCCCTCCCCTCTCACCATCTGTTGACCTCATGTGGTTTTGCCTTCCTTCACCTCTGCTCCTCCTTTTTCTTCCCCGTCTCTTACCCGTTTGCTCCAGCAACTCCCCAACTTCTTTCCTTCTCCTAAAATAGCATGTCAGAGAGAGAGAAAATAAACAAGAGAGACGCCCTTTAGTTTAGCCCTCCACAGAGTCGGAGCGGGGGACACAAAGAGAGAGAGAGAGAGAGTGTGTTTATGTGTGCGTGTGACTGGTTTTTTTTTGCTGATCCCTGCCAGTGCAGTCTGAAGCTCACACAGTCAGCCAGCCGGCGCCTTCAAAGCTCCTCCTCGCTCACAAACTATATGCCATTAAATTAATGGAAACTTGCAAAAGTACTGTGCGAAACGCCCTGGCTTTCAACGTGGACACGCTTAGTGCTGCACGCTGAGTTCATTTTTATTTATTTTAAAGTATGGCAGGCATAAATGTGCGTGCCTTTTGTGTACCTTTTCAAGACACGCAGATATGTAAGGCTAAAAGAGTGTGTCTTTGTGTGTGTGCTTTAGTGAGTAAGAGTACACAATAGTCTCTGAAAAACTAGGTATCATGTTCAGACCCCCAAGCCGTTCCCCCACCCCTTAAGAAAATATAAATCACATGGCATTCTTCATTTATGACTCATTGTCTCCGTTCGCAAATGCTTTACTGCTTTATATTTTTCTCCCCTTTCTTGGCTTTGGCCGTCTTATTCCCCGCATTCCTCCTCCTCCTGTGTGTGTCTGTCTCTGCCCTTATTTTCATCTTATTCTATTCTTTCTTTTTTCTCCTTCCCCCATCCGTACTCCCTGCTCCCTCCCTCTCCTCTTGCAGACAGATTGATTCCAGATGTTGCTAAACTCTACCCTCTCTCCCTCCTCCTGTTCTTCTACATAAACTCCTCCTCCTCCTTTTTTCTTTCCACACTGTCCAGTGACTATAATTTGATGGTATAATGTTCTTTTAGACATTCCAGTTTTCTTCCCAGTTTTTGTAGCTAGTGCAGCGCCTTCATCCTTACTTTAGTGTTAACTGCAAATGTGATTTAAAATAAGCAGATCGTTAACATTCAGTCACCTTGAATTATTTTGAAGTAATGGGACAAAATTATCACATTTCGTCAGCTGCTTTGGTGGTCCACCACCACTGAATGAATATAGCACAAATACAAAGTTAAGATCCAGTATTGTGTGGTCTGAAACCCTAATATCAGTTCAGTCCTAGTTGAAATGTAGCACAGTGTTGGGAGCTCCCAACATGAATCTCTTTTTATTTAAAATACAGCGTTTTCTCATTCCTGTTGCCCGACATTGCCCAAGGCTTTCCAGACAGGAGATTCTGAACAGCCTCGTTATACTACATTTCTATATGTGCCGTGGTGAGAACCAGCAGCTTTTCACACAGTCACTGAATATAAGTCTGTCCATTCTCCTGTAAATGTGGCGCACCAAGGAGAGTGTTCCCCCTGGGGACGAGGCACGAGGGGGAAATTGGTTCCAGATGAAACAGGAAGTGGAGAGTGGAGACAAAGAAAGGGCTGTTTCAGACAGGGGAAAGGGAGGACGGGCCCGAGTCTGAACACAAACACACACAGAGTCAGAGTTTACTGCCCATGCATCAAAAGGAAAATTTTTCTTTTTCATTCGAACTCATTCTTTACATCTGGGCCATTTTTTTTAGAAAAACCTCATACCGTCATTCCCCCTTGGCCTCCCTCTATCCCACTCCGTCTAGAAGATTCTTCCTCTTCTCCACTCATCCATACATCATCGCCACATCTGTTTTTGGTCTTAGCCAACATATGTCCAAGCCCCAGTCTCACAAATAGTTGTACTGTGTAAGCTAGCTCTTCTGGGACAGCTTTATTAGCTGTTCATCTGAATGTTTGTACAAACAGCGTGTCAGTCTTGCTGTCACCGCACCCCTCTGTCTCTGATGCTTGCCTTTGATTGGCTGGATAAATGCTATCAAGAGGTGATTCTCGCAGGAGGCAGCTCGAGGTCACGGCCAGCAGGTTAACTCTGTTGACACTCTTCAGAAGCCAAATCTGCCCTTCTCATCACTGTGGCATCACACGGCCCACACTCAAGCTGTTTCCTGAGCGTCCAGGCCGAGGGGCAGCACATTTCAAACACTCTGTCTGCTCCTCTGTCCTGAAGATTAAATGTAATGAAAACATCAGCAGTTCTGAAGACTACCATCCCATCCCCCAACACATACATATATGCACACACACACACACACACACATCTTTCTTTCTTTTACCCCCTCAGACCTTCTCTCCTCCCCACCGCCCCCTCTTCCCTCATGCCTCAGCATGAGTCTCGCTAGGCGGTCATGTTTTCTCTGCGAGGCATGCCAGCAGGCTAGACTGTGCTGGTGTCATCTCTCTCTCTCTCTCACTGCTGTCAAAATATCACCGTTTGGTTAACTTTCCCCATTGTTCCAGTCCTCCTTCTGCTCCCCCTCTTTGTCTTTCTGTCTATTCTCCCCCCTCCTCTCCCTCCTCACCTTGCTCTGCACCAAATAATGGCTGCTCTTGCCGGGGCAAAATGACACGGAGGAGAAAATCATAGTCAGAGAGAAAAGAGAGGAAGAGAGACAGAGATAATCTAATTAAAAGTAATTACTGAGCAATTAACCACAACACTGGTTTCTGGGGCAGGGTCGATGAGGGATGGGGGGGCTCACCCTCTGCTAGTGGATTTTGATTGGTTAGTCCGGCTGGATATGAGCACTGCGGTAATGGTTCACCAGTCACGGTGACTGTTAACTGTTAACTTAATTCACTCCTCTGTGTTTGTCCCGCGGGGAAGTGTCTTCTGTCCCGGTTTGAACTTCGTTCTGTTACTGAGCATAGTAGCACTCTACTAAAGTTTAGATATTGTTTAAGATTTTAAAAATGGTTTGTTGTGGGTTGTGCTTTTAAATTATAGAGACATGTTGTGACAATAATGGGAGACATAATTTTTATTATTTTTAGTCTGAAAACTAGCTAGATGGAGATTTGTGTCTGAGAGTGCATTTCACCCGAAATGTAAAAGTTTCATGTCATGCTGCATCCACTCATTTTTCAAAAGCCCAGCCACTTAAACCGATCTCTCCCCTCCTGTTGTCTCTTGCAGAACAATGAGCCTTTAAATCCCGGTTTCCATGGATACCCACCTCACAGTCAGGTAAGAGATTAGCGACTGCTTGCAAATTTCTGGAACAATAAATAACAAAAACATAATGTAATGCAGCATCCTTGAGTCACCTGAGATATGCAAATCTTTAACCAACCAAGGCCTCTTTGAACAACCATAAATCAAATGCTGCTCAATCAGTTTTTTTCTCGTGGGATATAAAAGACTGTATCCTCTGATGTGGAAGACAAGTTTGGGGGGAAAAAAGTTTTTTGTATACAGTATAATCAACATCCTTTTAGAAACCACCTCTTGATTCTTGGTGGCCAGGGGAACCTGCTGTTGTCGTCCATCTTGTCCCATAGCAGGTTCTGCGTGGGGCACTTTTTATTTTTCTTCTACTACAACCTATGACAGTGTATAGATGACAGCTGTGAGAAGAGTTGATGAAAGGGAAACCGGTAGCGACTGAGCTTCTCTTTCAAAGGCTCGACCCGAGAGAAATTATGCTATCACCTCCTCTAAACTAAGCTCTGCACACTCTGCGTGCAGCACTGTCTCACAATACCGTTCCTATCCTCTCGCACTTTCTCTCTTTTTATGCCTCTATCCGTCTCCTTCTCATTCTTAGTGTCTCTCCATGCATATTGCTCTCAGTAATGAGTGCCTTATGTGTGCGGCGCAGCGGTGGGGTAGCTGAATATTTTCTTATCTACCTCCAAGCAGCAGTGCACATTGAGCGGCTCAAACCAGCTCAGAACCCGTGTGTGTGTGTGTGTGTGTGTGTGCACGCACAAACCCCATTTGAGTATGCTTATGAGAAAGGCCTCTGTATCTGAGAGCTTGAACGTGTGCGTGCACCTTTGTCTCTGTTTGTGCGTGCGTTTCTTGCTCGTGTTTTTGGATGTGCAGCTCTCTGGCAGTGCCACAGGAGGGGGGTGTTGGTCTGTGAGCCCCCGTCCTCCCTCCCCACATCTCACAACATGGGAGTTTCTCATAGGCCTCATCCCCTCTCATGTAGTCTTATTTTTGTCTTACTCTGCTTGACTCTCCAATCCTGCTCTCCCACTGGTATCTCCTTTCTCGGGAATACATTTCTCTGAGAGAAAGACTTAAAGAGAATTTGTTGTTCTGGTTAATTGTATGAAGATTTCATCTTCCCTTCTCTTGTGTCCAGTATTCAGTTATTTCTATTTAGGTGTTGACCTGACAACAAAAAAAACTGTGAAAGAGCTCATAGGCAAAAAAGGAATGATGGGATGAGACAGAGAAGTGGAGCAGAGGTGAAACAGAAATGGAAGCATGTTATTTAAGATGGCTTGCCTGCAGGGCACAAAATCATACAATAGTCAGCCGCAGAGCGAGAGTAGACTCATATTCCAGTCTTGGCCCTTGCCTTCCTTCATCTGCTTGTAAGACAAATACCTGTACAGAGAACACTTGTGATCTGTCATCTGTTAAATTCAGAGCCTACGCACGCTGCTGCATTTGTTTTATAAATGATTTAAAACTCTTCCCTGCTAATGCATTCTGCCCTTGAGCACACACATTAGGAGTCTCCAGCACACTAGCTTGCTGGTTATCATGCAAATGCAGCTAGCCAAGCCTAGCTTAGCTGGATTGGCTTGTTCATTGCTGCAGTACATTTGTCTTGGTAATTCTCTCTCTCTCTAATGTTATGCACGCGTGTTTGAAGTGCCTGTAGGTCTGCTTGTGTCAATATGAGTGTGTTAAACGGTGACAGGCTCCTGTGGGTGCCTGCTGCTGCACACAGTGAGAGGTGTGTGTGTGTGTGTGTGTGTGTGTGTGAGAGAGAGAATTCTGACCCATGGGGGAATACATGTCAGTCTCCTGCTGTTTAGGTCGCAGTATGATGAGGGCTAACATACACACAAAAACAAGCCAGAGAGGCTACACAGCTAAGCATTTTTTCATTTAGCAATATTGTTTTAAAATGTAATTGCAGGTCATAACCTTTCCTTGGATGATTGCAATTCTCCTCCAAAGATTCTTGATTATTCCTATAGAAAAGTTTAGCCTGAGCTATTGATTAGCTGTAGATGCTATTTGAAGGCGCAGACCTTTGTTTGAATTAGCAGATGAGTGTGGGATGGATATAGCCCTTTGTTTTAAGTCCTTGTGTGCCTGTGTGCCAACCAAGGTGCAGCAGCATGAATATGATCACAGCACATCTTTGTGTACGTTATGTCCATGTGTTTGTGTGTGACTGCATGTGTTTATCACCGTGTTCAGTCTGTGAGCTTAATCCTCAGATCATCCCCTATTCATCCTCTCATCCTCTTCACTTACAGCCCCTAATCCTGTCATCCCTCGCTCTTTTTTTCCACCCAGCCCGTTTATCCATTTATCTCTCTATCCCGTTATCTCTCACTCGCACCCACTGCACCCCATTCCAGCCCACTTCCCTTCGTTTGCCCCTTTTCCCCCCGCCACTTCCAATCACTTATCTTGCCCTCCCTTCATCCCTGCGGACCCAGTTCTAGCCAGACTCAGCAGATGTCTGAAAGCTTGGCATCAGGGCTTTTTTTCCGCAGAGTTGAGTCCCTCCCCATATGAAAATGCGGTGCAAGGAACTGCATTCTCATCTCTGCAAATTAAGCGCCTTAGAACAATACTGTGGTGGGAAGTGAGGTTACTGAGCCCGAGCCAGAAGAAAAAGGCGCAATGCAGCGTAAGACAGATTCATGTTCAGGTTGAGGTTTAGATACTGGAATCTGGGGCTGGCGCTCCCTCAGTTTTGTGAGACTTCCATCTGTGTGATGAAGGCAGCTGCAGCAGAGAGATGGTGATCTAGGAGCCTACCCACGCAGCCAGCTACCTAGCTGTCTACCGACTGGCCTACCTACCGCTGCTTTTTGGAGCTGACAGCCTGCCACGCAATAAATAAATCATCAAAAAAAAGCTGCAATGCAGTGGGGGTCGCGTTCGTGTTCTGTACTCTCAGGCAGCCAGTGCGTGGATAGAAGACAGCATCTTCTTCCTTCCTGTTCCTTTTCTCTCTCCAGGGGTTTTGAGGAGGCAGCAACAACAGCTTTCTCCATCTAGACACAGGGTTAGATAGCTACATGGAAGGATGGATGCCTTGATGGATAGGAGGGTTTGAGGCTGAGAGGGAGGGAAAGTTTTAAAAGAGGGGCGGGAACAAGAGGAAGCAAGGGGGAGCAGCAGGACGTGTAACACGAGTGTGTGTGTGTGTGTGTGTGAATGACAGACGCAGAGCAAAGAGAAGAGAGAGAAAGGACGCGAGAAGAGACTCAGGCTGTCAGGAGGAGAGAGACAGAAAGGCCCGAGGGGGATCAGAGCAGCGGGGCCGGGGAGACGAAGAAAAGAGAGGCAGAGCAGTGACAGGCAGACGAGGCTTGCGTGCTGGAGAAGTGGAAGAAGGGACGTCGGCAAAGGGAAGGAAGAGGAAGAGGGAGTGAACGAGGGAGAATTTGAATGTGTGAGACAGACGTGGACTGAAGCCATTGTCAGCTCATGGTCTTAGAGCACAGCCAGAGAAAAGGAGGAACAGGAGGAGAAACAGAGACACGGAGGGAAGGGCAGAGGAGAAGGAACGGAAAAGTGGAGAGCTGGTCAGCAGTTGTTCCTCTAGATCAGACAATGATGGGGCTGTACTACCCAGCAATGCTGCCGGTAAGTTCACTTCTTAAGCTGAGCTGCTATCTGTAAACAAGGTGGTGCACATGTTGAGAACTGCAAGATCAGAACTGGAAAAACAAGAGAGAATATTAATGATTTATTTTCATTAGTTTAGTTTGGCTTGGTGAGACTGTAATTGGTGTGCTGTTTATGTTGTGGCCCGTTTTGGTTTGCTGTGTCTTGGCCCAGGTGAGGCCTTTGTCAGATAGTTGGCAGGGCATCAGGCTAACAGCAGGGCTTGTCCCTCCGCTCTTTTCACTTTTTAACTCTTTCTGCTCAACTGTCTTTAAATCTTCTGTAAGAAATCATGCTAATAGTTCATTATCTTGGGTCACTGGAGTGGAGACAACCGAGAGACATCAGTCAGATTGTATGCTCATGCAAGGATTTCTGAATGAACATTTTGTGACTATAATAAGGTAGCTACTTAACATCGTAGGATATAATGTTTATACAGTTGATGTGTGGTAGGTTGCTCTTAACATATGGTGGGCGTGTCTGTGCTACTTAAGCTGAGACACCGCCTGAGGATGAGAGCTGTTCCCTGGCTCTGTTCTAGCTTGTCCTGCGCTCTGGTCTTGGGTTCCTTTGGGCCGTAATGGGGGAGGTGGCAGGGAGATGCATGCGGACCGCACATGTACAGTTGTTCATGCATGCTCCCGCCATGCTGACTGCACACAGTGTCATGTTATATTTTGTGTGTGTGTCATGTCACGTCATGTGCACAGAGAATGGAGGCTGAGATCTGTCAAGCTATTCAACGTTGTCATCCAAGCTGTCCATGCCGTTTAAACTTCATCTGTCACTGGATTGAAGGAGACAGGTGCCAAGGCACAGTTGTTTCTGCACACACACACACACACACACACACACACACACACACACACACACACACACACACACACACACACACACACGGACGCGGGCACGTACCAGTTGTTGCTAGTTGAGAATGCTTTACTAACCCCCTATCTTATGGCACACTCAGACGCACATAGTTGCTGTTAATGAATGCATAACAACAACCCTGCATTTGACCGATTCATAGGATAGTCATAGCAGTCACTGCGCTGTTTGTACTTCACTTCACCAGCTTTCTTTATTTGGTCAATGTCTGAAAAGCTACAATAACCTACACCTCTAGTTGTTTGTAGGAGAGGTATATTTTGTTGTTCATGTGCCCCCCCCCCCCCCGCAGGCTAGAGCAGATGTAAGCTAAACACATTATTCCTCTTCAAAGAGAATGGTGCCAAATGCAGGACGGCAGTAGTAACTACAAGTGTGTAAGAGGAGGGTTGGGGGTGGGGGGGTTAGTTTCATGTGGGAATGCACTTTAAAGGTGACACTCCACCAGTCACACTGTCCACTGTAACATTTATGGTACGGCT